TAAGTATGCATAACTGGGCTATAACACCTACATAGAGAAGAGAAGTGATTGAAAGTCATAATTTATGTGTTGCTCTATGAGTACTTTTCTTTACTGAGATGACTACCTTTTAAAATTTTTCGAAACACTTAGAGAAATTTCAACTTAAAAGGTAGTACCATGGCATATCAAGCAGGTATTAGAGCAAAAACAACATTTATGTGTATTTTGTGGTTGCTTGTCTTATATAAAGTGTCCTGTTCTGATTTTGAGTAAAAATTAAAAATTTAATTTGGGAAAAAAATTGGTGCGTCTTTTTTCTTAGTAAATCTTGTTTGCTTCTCGAAGTGTTGATCCATCATATGGAAGACATAGTAATCAGCCTTTGTGCTGCAGAGTTAGGTGAACGTTCCAAACGTTGCTTTTCAATCGCTTGTTTTGTTTGGGAAAATGTTTCAAATGAAAAAAGATTTTAACAATTTATATTTTTTGTGAGAAGAAATTAAAAATATTTTACATTTTAGAGACCGAATTATTTGAAAAAAATCAAAGCAGCTGCTCTACTGATACCATCTGCTCAATGTGCATTGGGTAGTACAAAACATTACAAAGAAGTACCTACATTTAACTGTACTTCGAAGTACGAAGTACAACGGCTCAAAAATAAGTACTGTACTTCCGAAAGAAGTACGGTTGGTCACATTAATTATACACCACTGACCTGAAAGCATCATAGCACTCGGCGACATCAGTGCTCGAAAGCTGCTCTTCCCAACTTAACTCAGCAAATAAACTGTCCAGGCTTGCAAAATCACACCGTTTAAAGTTGAAGGCAATTTTATCAACTGAACTCCTAAAATTTACATTAAGAACGAAAGGAACATGATGCATATCGGAGGACGTGACTGGAGAGCAACATTTAGACAGATTAAAATTAATATTGTCACTAACAAAGATCAGATCCAACAATCTATCGAGCTTGTTTTAAATGTGTTAATTTGCAGCAAGTTCCGGCTTAAAATATTATCAATAAAATAAGATTCACAAATAGTTGAGAGATTAGTAGGTGTAAGACCAGAATTACAGTAACTTTGCGACCAATTAAGGTTGCTAAGATTAAAATCCCCTAAAATACAAATATGGTTATCACCTAATTTTCCAGTAACGAATGATAAAATATTATCTGAATGAGCTCTATAAAGACTATCAACACTATTTGGAGGAATATATGAGGCAACTATAAATAATTTATTTTTTTACTGAAATATATTTATATTTAAAGCTGAAGAAATATAGTATTTTCGCGTCGTATACTTTTTTCCAACAGTGTATAGTATTCCGATCGGAAAAATAGTACAATACTATATATTATAGTACGGTTGGCAACCCTAGCTGAGAG